ACGAGGAAGCAAGCAATGCTAGCCCTTAGTAAAGCTACTTAGTCATCCTAGGCGGTTACCGAATTGCACTATTGGTCACCATTTTTGCTTACTGGAAAGACGACCCTAGCATTTAGGTTCGCCAGTGGGATTATTTTCGCTCACTCGGTAGGACTTTTTGTGTTTGGAAGAGATTGAAACATAAGTATCCGGTGTGGAGGCCCACACACACACGGAATACTCTGGTTTAGCTTCCCTATGGGGGTGTAACCGACAAACACATCGTAGTTTCGGGTAGTCACAGATGGGAGCTGTACTTGGTTAGCGACCTGCGTGGTATGACATTCTGGACCTCTGAGGAGCCGGCCACATTTCCCCTGGGAAATAAAAGAGGAAACTGCACACAATTAATCGCCAGTTGAAGGCTGCGTTGATTAATTGCAAAAACGCAATTCTTGTTGCGTTAATCAAACAGCGCATTCTAATAGCCAAATGCGAAATTGGAGGGGGATGACCTTTGTTTACTTTGGAAACCAGCTTATATTGGCTTACGCGGCAGGAACAAGGAAATGCGCTTCATTCAGCTTACCCCAAAAGGTTTTCGCATGACACGGAAGGTGGGAGTTTTCAGGGTTTCCACCATACGATTGCCCTTAAATGTCTGTGAAGGGTGACTTATGTGGACCATCTCACAATCTACTTTCACTATTTCAATGAAGGAAGAAATTTCGAGTAATCAGTTATGAAAGAATTAGCGATGCGATGGGAAGTTGGCGTCTATTTTTCAGACGGTTGGGCAGTGACTTGAAAAGGAAACAAGGTTTTCGAAGAACGGCTAGCTTGATTCTGCATTCTAGATACGTGAACCGGACTGCGATGGTGTAGGTGATTTATTGTTTCTTGAAATGACTCGTTGATCAATATGGATAAAAAAACGCCCATAGGATTTACGACCTGGGCTCTCTTCAGCCTTCTCATCGTCTGGAGTGCAGTGTGCCAGTTACAGTAGCTGCGGAATACTTTAAGGTGAAATAAGATGCCATCTGGTTCGGCGAATGATCAACTCTCTATCACGGAGTGATACTTCTTTCAGGTGGGGCCAGACACTGAAGTGGTAGATTGGTCACCTACAGGAGTGACCGCAGTCCAGAACAGCATTACAACTTGGTCCGCCATTCAGTCAAGTTCTTCTCATTGCTGTTCGGTAAAGGTTTAGTGAAGAGG